AAACTGTGGCCCCGGATTATCCGGAATGTCCAGAGCAGGCTGCACTGAACTTTTTGAGGGAGGAAGTATGGCCCCGGATTATCCGGAATGTCCAGAGCAGGCTGCACTGAACGTTCCTTGGGGCCCCGGATTATCCGGAATGTCCAGAGCAGGCTGCACTGAACGTTCCTGTAAACAAATGAAAAAGGTCAAGTTTGATCAATCTCTCCTGATATGGTAAGTCCCTGAGACCCACGACCAGGCAGAAGCCCTTGTTCCATGTGGTTATCCAGACAATTATGGAGAATGCGAGCAAAGATTTTACCGGCAATATTCAGCAGGGAGATTCCGCGATGGTTATCGCAGACTTGATGGTTCCCCTTTCACTTGTAAAGTGGACAATTTTGGCGTCCTTGAAGTCTTGGGGAACTTTTCCCTGTCGCCATTTCTCTTGGAACAGGGTGGTGAGGTGGATTATGAGTTGGTGACCACCGTATTTGTAGATCTCCCCATGGATCCCGTCGGATTTTCGAATGAAAGTTACGTAAGCATGTAAATTCGGAGGAAATAAAGTCGTTAATATCTCTTTTTTTTTTCAAACACGCAACTGGTAGGTTTCGAAAAGGGTCCTCCTGGTATTTGAAGCTTTTCCCAGGATACGGTGATGTTCGAGGTTGCCATTGATGGTTAATGCTTCGTGGCCAACTTGTAGGTGGACTCTGGAGTCTAGTGGGTTTCATCTCTGTAATGTTGCCTTGACTTCTACTGTCTTCTCCTGTTGTCCCGGATGACCCCTTCATAAATCGGCGCTATATTATTTTTCCCATGAAAATTAGCGTCCCGAACCCTCAACAACAGGATCCAATCTAACTGCATCATGCCATACCATGCTACCTATAAAGGCAGTTTTTTCAGCTATTTTTTTGGAATCGGTGGCTCGCTGAACTCATCTACCGATGTAGGAGTTTTTTACTGCCCAGATAATTATTTTATAAGAGTTTGTTGCTAATCGGAACTAATTTTTTATTTTCTTATTTTTACGATAGCACTTATTTTGAAATGAAGGGACCCTTGGGCCTTAAATATAGAATTTATTTATTATTTATTTATTTACCCGGGTGCCTTCCCGCTGGACAGTTGATGCACAGCCTTGAGGGTTTCCTCACCGGTGGGTGGGAGGTCGATGTGAGCATTGTTTTACACTTGCGGCAGCCGGTCAATGGCAGCTTCAGAGGTGCTGGAGGGCCGATTGAGTACACCTTGGAAAATCTCGGCTCAGCGGCTCAGAAGTTGTGTCTTTTCAGTGAGGAGGGTGGTACCGTCCGCGCTGAGAAGCGGGGCTGTACCTCTGGCCATGGG